AAGCTTCTGGATCCACAACATTGCAAGTTGATAAAAGCGTTGTAAAATCGCCAGCCATGGCAATGTTTGGTCGCCAAACTCAATCGCGATTAGATCTGATGCTTCCGCAAAATGGTAATCTCTGCTACGGAACGTAAACTTCCGCCAAAACCCTTTAAGTTGGGTGAGAAAGTAGCTATATGCGATTATTTGTCTAGCAGCAAATGGCAATTTGGGACAGTATCCGAAGCAATTGGAGACCTACACTTTGACAAACAGTTCGATGACGGTCGGACATTGAAGAGACATATAGATCAGGTTAAGAAAGTCGGTGAGCAGCTGATAAGCCAGCATAGCGTTACGTAAACGCAATTTGAAAGCAGCCCCTCTGAAACAGCTACGATGCCAGCAGAAATGAACCGGCTGACCTCGCTGCAAATACACAGGGTGAACTGCGCTGATCTAAGAGAACAAAGCGCGCGCGAGAGCGTTTACAAATAAATTTTTTATTTCGATATTTTCACTATTTATTTCATATACATTTTTCTTAAATTCAGTTTCAACTTAACATTTCATAGAAAAAACCTTCAAGTTCGGATCACATTACCATTTTACCTTATAAATGATGAACGCTGAAATTAACTGAATTTCCTAAAATGTTGTACTGTATCGAATATTTACTTAACAACAAGTGTTTCAGAGATGTCATCGACCAAATGTCAAACAAAGCAAAACATGAAATAAAAGCATATGAATTAGTCTGCAAATAACTGTATTCGAATTATTTTGGTTGGTTACCACACTATGCTTAGAAGGCTGATCCCGCGGTAGTAGTAGTAGTAGATTGGATAGAGCCCCTTTGAATACCAATCGTCGGGTATGCACCTTATTAGCTCCTTGCCATTATAATTGAATAGCTCAGCTGGCAGGCCATCAGCTAAAGCAGCTTTGTTACTTTTCATCAGCATAGTCGCTACACGTACCTCGTCATAGTCAGGCGCTGGGATATCGACTCCATCGTCATCGGCTGGGGACTCGGGTTCGTCTTTTCCACTTCTTTCACTGCTTCTGCCATTCAAAAGGATAGAATAGTTTTCGCCATGGTTGTTCCTACAGAAATCTTGAAACCTTCCGGTTTGTTGAAGAGTGCTCTTTCACAGCAGGTGTGAGAGTCGAGCGGCGAATCCATTGACCGTATGTTTTAATAGCAGTTTTCTGACGGTGAACTTTCCTTGCACTGTTGGGGGCACTTTTTTTGCTGCACCGAGGTGGGGTCGTATATTGGGTGCATCAATATAGAGGTTCGAGTCGATGTTCGGCCCTGGGAATGTACGTACGAGTATCTAAAACAGTGGAAGCATGACTTCCGTCTATCGCAACATGCCCGATTTGGTTTCCCGTTTTTTTTCGATCTTCTTATGCTAGAACCCAGTACTACATACTGCTAAGTTTTGGGCCCCGGCGAAGTCGATCAGCCTCAGCTCACCGTTTCTATGTGGAGGCTGAATTTTCCGGAGCTGGCACCAAAGATCCCTTCGTTGCCCACCTTGGCATTTAGATCGCCAAGCCCGATTTTATGCGTGTGCGAAATTCTTTACAATAGCGTACAATTACTGATGTATGCCGACGAGATTGACATCATCGGTAAAAACAAGGGCCACTCTGTTCTGCCTTCTCGGAATAAGATGGAGAAACAAAGCGTGTTGGTCTAGCGGTGAACGAGGACAAAACGAAGTATCTTCTGCTATCACACAAACAGTCAGAGCTTAAGAGTGTCGACTTGAAAAAGACGATGACTTCGTTTATTTTAGAACCAGCATTAGTAATAACGGCAACCTTGAGATCCAACGGAAAATCACTCCGCCAACAACGAGCTACATTGGACTGAGAGTACGCAATTCAGAAGTAAAGTCCTCTATCGACGTACAAAAATCACACTCTTTAAGTCATTCATCTCATCTTTTCTCAATATACGTAAGGCCTACTAAAGATTAGTCAAGGTCGCTTAGTAAATACTATGTTAACTAAGAGCCAAGTACAGGANAGGAGTTTCACCATTATACCTTACTAGCTAAGTGGAGATAGCGGGTCTTGACTTAAACGTAATCGTCGCTACTGATGTCCGGCAACCTAGTAATAGATACTGCCATGTTTCGGAACCGGCGAAGTCGATCGGCCTCAGTCCGTTATAGGGCGTTAGGGAGGTATTATCACTTGCGAAGCGAATGAATTTGGCGAAGCGAACGGTTTGGCGAAGCGAATAGGAGGCTGAGTTTTAACCTTGCAGGCTCAATTTTTCTACAATGGCGTCAAAGATCTCTTTTTTGTCCACCTTGGCATTGAAATCGCCTAGTACGATTTTTATATGGTGAATTTTTAGTGGTTTGGGTACCGCCACGTTAAAACCCACAACAACGTCTACGTTTGCACTAATGCATAAAATTTAAGTCAAAAAACAAACTGGTTCTCTGAAATTTTTGTAATTTCACGATTTAATTGACGATTCGTTGCCTTTGGCTTATACTCATACACAAATGCATACATACATACATAAATACATACATAGACAAACTCCAAAAATTATAGCCGACAAAAAGAGTGGATATCAATTTCTGTAAACTGTTATCTTCTTCTTCTTTGTCTTCGCTATTATTGTTGTCTTTGTGCTCTAACTTGAGCTCATCTTCATTGTGATTGCCTTCTTCTGCGAGCTTGAATTCGCCTTCTAGCACGCCAACGTCTTGCCGCAGCATTATTTGCGGGCTGCAGCTGGTGCTGGTGTTGCTGGCGTTGCTGCTGTTGCCTTTACTAGCAGTAATGGTGCTGGTGTTGCGGCTGTTGCTACTGGTGTTGGCGTTGCTGCTGTTGCTTTTAATGCTGCTACTGCAGCTGGTGCTGGTGTTGCGGCTGTTGCTACTGGTGCTGGCGTTGCTGCTGTTGCTTTTAATGCTGCTACTGCAGCTGGTGCTGGTGTTGCTGGAGTTGCTGCTGTTGCCTTTACTAGCAGTAATGGTGCTGGTGTAGCAGCTGTTGCCGGCGTTGCTGCTGTTGCCTTTAACAGCAGTAATGGTGCTGGTGTTGCGGCTGTTGCCGGCGTTGCTGCTGTTGCCTTTAACAGCAGTAATGGTGCTGGTGTTGCGGCTGTTGCCGGCGTTGCTGCTGTTACGATAGCTGCAGCGTTCGCTGTGTAGAAACTGGTAATAGTCACAAAAAGGACAATCACAGAAAATAAGCTGAAGAAATTCATTTTTTAACTCGTCGATAGTAGTACTCGTATGTATGTTCGAAAGATTAGTTAATGAACGACTATGTTTTCGAGGCTTTTATAGTAAAATTATGTTGCCTTTTCTCTAAAATATAATTAATTACGTAAGTATTTACATATAGCCACATGTTCTTGTATATATTGTATTCGATATTTTAATAGCTGGTTTATATTTGGATAGCTTATAAAAAGGCAAAAAAAAATAATGTTAGTAAACAGTCTAACTTTTCAGTAAAGCATACATTGGTTATGGCAATCATAAACCAATCAAACAGCGAGTAACTAATGAATATTATTTTTATTTGTACAGATTGGGGAGGAGTTATAAATAAAGTTAAATGCATAGCAACTACTTTTCGTAGCCTCATTTATACATAAGTACTTTTGAAAATTCGTTTGATCTGTTTAAAAATGGAAGTGACATCAGTATTTTTACTGCCAGCCAGGCGGCTATAGAATGTTCGAGAATAACACTGCAGATTTTGCCAAATGCCGCTGATCTCTTAACGAGTTTACTAGAAAATGTCCCGCGGACATTTTGTGAGATTCACCGTACTCGTGAAAAACTGCAAAGTTTAATAAAATCTTTGACAGAAATATGTACATATATATCAAGTATTTCCATACAAAACATGCAAATTTAAAAAGTAAGGACAATTTTCTGAAACTTCTGAGCATAGATGACAAGTAGAACTTCTTTGCCAAATTACTCGGCAGCTTGAGTATAGAGCAGACTTGGGAAGTAAGAAGCGGCTGGCGGGCATTTTTTAAGTCGAATAAAATTTCCTAGATAATTAAAGTGAATCAAAGAAGGAGCAATGCTTTGTAGGCAAACGACATCGAACCGGAAGCATCGATATGGTACTCATTTAAAGTATCGCTTTAACACTATCCTTGTAATGTGAGTTTATGACATTCGATATGTTACTAGGGTTCTGGTACTCGACTCCAAAAAATATCGTTTTAAAACTATCAAGTATAAAATATCGTATCGTATCGAAATTCGTGTCCCTAATGCTCTGTGCTCTACATACTGGAGGAGGTAAAATTTCTGCAGTTCGTAACGCAGTTAAGCAAATCGAGACTGTGCTCTCGAATTAACTCATTGTGTCTTCTCTCTATAACAATCAATTCTCCTCTGGCTTTGTCTAACCGGATGAAAGGCGAAATGAATCTATTCATACGAAATGTGTATTGTCATAAATATTAAAGCTCTTAAGAGAGTAGCGGTACATGTGTACACGCCGATGTTCTGACCCGTGACTAATTTACGTACCCCGCGAGGACTTAGGAAGCTAAAAAGAGCGCGAGCACGCTCCAAGCACTCCAAGACATTTTTTTTTCAACTTGAAATGGCCTTGATCCCATGCGTCTAATTAAGAGTTAAGATCATTTCGCAATACAAGGTTGGAGTAGGAGTTAAGAATTACGGCTTCAAATATCCTCCCTCAGTTCTATTTAAAGCAAGTTTCGTCAGCATCAGATAGTCGGGGACTCTCTAGAAATTCTTTAAGTCGGTTTGTATGTACAACTTAGGAACGAGATATCAACACAATAAGAGTCTTAACGTCTTCGAAACACTAATAGATCAAATTTATTGGTATGCAGACACTTGAACTCGGAATACATTTGGTGTCATAAATGAGTCGTAAAGGTGTATCGGAGCATTTACGCTCATAATGAGCTCATTTAAGCGTCCGTAATGAAGCTGTTTCCTTTGCTCGGAAGGTGTACTTATATGAGCTTAAATTCATACATCAAGTGAGCCTCAAACACTAGACGAAACTAGATTTAGAATTCGAGTTTTCAGCAGGCCGTCATCAAAGTAATTGATAAACTGAAATTGAAATAAATGTCTTGCTGTAATTACGAACTCATATCCATTAACCTTAAGATAAGATTTTACATTTTTCGCTTAACATATCCTTAATTTTCAACAAAGAAATAACTTTCCAAACCGATTACTAGGATTTCTAGGATTACTAGGATAAGGTAAGCGCTTACCAAAGAATTAAAGCTTTTGCTGGGTGTCCTCCAAAAAAATGGAGCAATCGTAACGGAACATTCTACTAATACCACTTTTGATCACATGCGGCAATAACGCAAAATTTGCTTTATTTCACTTTTAAATGGGAAATAATACCAAAATCTGACAAAGGTTGGAAATAAAACAAATTTTGCCTTATTTCCCATTGCTCATCCCATTGCTTATTTATACTATTTGTAAAAAGACAGTTTACTGGCAGAAGAAAAAAGAACTTTTTTGTTTCAAAAATACAATTAAACCAAGGCACAGACAACAGGTAGTATCAGTATAGCAGCTGATTTGATTTTTTTTTTTTTCAAATTATTTGTTCTCGAAAATGTCAAATATTTTTAATTTTTTCTCACAAAAAATTCTAAATTGTTAAAATCTATTTGCATGCGAAACCTTTTTCCATACAAAACCAGCGATTGAATTGCAGCTTTTGGAACGTTCGCCCAACTCAGCAGCACAACCGCTGATTACTGGGCCTGGCACGGGGTGGATCAATGCTTCGAGAAGCAAACCAATTTACTAAGAAAGAAAGTTGTAACAGTTTTCATTTTTTCAATGTAAATTTTTTTATCTATTTTGTATTTCACATGGCACGCTTTGATGTAGAAGAAAAAAATCAGAACAGATTTTGACATTTTCGATACCAAAAGCAACAACAAAATACAGGCAAATGTTGTTTTTTTCTCAAATGCTCTAAACCCGTTTGATAGGCCTTGAATTAAACAAAAAATGTGATATAATTCATATGAAGAAAGTAATATTCACAAAATATTTTTACTTATGAAAAGTCTAACAAAAAGTATAGGGATTGCATCGTCTTTAATAACTGCTCGGCATATTGAACATAGCGCTTTGCATGAATTTTATCTGCATGATTTTTGCTATTTATCATACAAATGTGTTTATCATATTTACCTAAATTTTGCAGATAATCAATGACGAAAAATTAATAAATGAGGCGCGTCAGTATAAAATTTACACAGCAAAAAGGAAGCGGATTATCGCAATAAACTGAAGCGAGCGCTGGCGTGGTAGTGCTATAAGCACTAAAATGGAAGTACCTGGTGAGAAAAACTTTTATTTAATTTCTATATTTGTTTGTGTTATACGACTTCATTTACAGAACCTGAATGTCAGTGGAGATGGCGGACCTTAATGTTTCGGTCTGTGCGGGAGTGCACTAAACAAAAATTTGCCTCTGGCAGTGCAGCTACTGACCCTGACAATGAGTGGGCGCTCTTTAGCCATTTAGAATTTTTAGGGGAACACGTCAAGCCAAGAATGTACGACACTTTAATTATCTAATTTGCAGGATAATATGTTTACGTTTTTATATATTTCAACCAGCATACCTCCGAGTCAAGCGGTCAGTATATCGGAGTCTGAGGAAATAAGTGTACTGCAGCCGGAGGAGTTTTTTACACTGCAGCAAGAAGAAAGAAGTACGCCACTGCCTGCACCATCCAATGATGGCTTTATATTTAGAGTATATTTCAGGCAATTCGACGACAGAGCTTGTGGAGAACTCAAGGTCGAGCGCAACTACAAACAATGGAAAGCGCGACAATCAAAAGGTCAGCGAACACCTCATTTCATTTCATGGATTCCATGAAAGAGGCGGTTACAAAAAGACTGCAGATTTATAATAACAAAAATGAAAGCTTTTTAGCACTTGTCGATGAAAAATTAAATGAACTCACACAGAACGAGCGCGAAGAATCAAAAATTTTCATTTTTAATCATTTATTTCAGAAAAAAAACAAGTAATTTGCGACCTGAATGAATTTATTTAGTTTTAGTTTTATACTTTATTGAATTTTTATTTTGAGTTTGTAGTAAACTTTTTATTTTTCTGAATTGAAATTTGATTGATTTTTAATAAGTGTGCTATTTTTGCTTTTACACTTTCCATTACTTTTAGTTAATTAGTTTTAAGTACATAAAATTGAAATGCGATTTATTTTTAAGGAATGAAAGAACCGAAATATTACTGAATTCATATTGAAAATTATATTTTAATTTTCATTTTATTTGCGAATACATATTCTTTTAGGGTGTCGCGTAGTTGGTATGCAGATCTGGCTGCACAGTTTGAACATAATCATGAAACATTTCTCAATGGATTAACCTCTCTTCGCCAAAGTCCTTCGACTAATTCTCCATTGCATTCATGATCAACGAAGCCATGTGGGCAATAGTAGCCATCGGTCATTTTTAAAAGTTGTGTAACACAAGTGTTGCATTAACAAGTTTCTCAGCAGTCTCTGGTGCCACATTTAGCTTTCCGCGTAAAATTCTCCATCTGGCAGTCAAAATACCGAATGCGTTCTCAATAGTTCTACGGACTCCCGACAATCTTTTGATAAAACATTCCCGCCTTTCGTCCAACAGCACACCAGGAAACGGCTTCATCAGATATGATTTTAAAGGAGGAGCTGCATCTCCAACAAAATTATAGGGGAAGGAGGTATTGATATTCAGTGCAGTGGCCTTTGTATCGGTAAATCTAGCTGCTGATTAAATAGCAGTTAAATGTTAAAATTCCTCCATTGCTTTGACTGCCATAAGCACCGACATCCACGGCTGTAAATGTATAATTCGCATCGCAAACACCTAGCGAACGAAACGATACTGTACGTTCCTGAGAAAAATTAAAAAAAATGTATATCATTTAATAAACGTCCAACATTTTAGTGTGTACCTTTATAATTATAGAAGTTGGACCCGAAATGTGCTGGACATGTAATTGCAATATGTTTGCCATCGATATGGCTCCAACACAGTTTGGTAGATTACAAATATTTTTTTAAAATCTTCCGCTATCCTTTGCCACTCAGCTATATTTGGCTTCGACGAGTAAAATGGACTTAATGTGTTCCAAACGATGTCGCGGTCGCTATGCAATCATATTTTGTATGAAATAGGAGCGGGGAATTAATCTTACTCATAAGCCATATCAGTGCGTGACTATGTACTTCAGCCGCTCAGCTGCTCAGTGCGTGGCATCGTCCTAATTGATCTCCAATAGTACCCGTAGGAGATTACTTGCGGCTAATTTATGCCCAATTGTACCCGATTGAGAATAATCTCGGAATACTCTCTTTAGAGATTAGTCGCAAATTTTTTTGCGGGGTGCTTATTTATAAACGTATGTGTTCCTTTTCTTTTGTACGTGTTTATTGATATATCTGTACTGTAATGTTTTCGGACGATACTAGCTCTTACTGCCAATATAGGAGTATTGCATATATGTATGTATGGCACTATCATAATGCATCTGCTGCTTTCTGCTGACAAAGAGTTGAGATGTGCAATAACATTTTTCTTTGAGTGATTGCATTGACATGTTGTTGCTGCTGTGGCTTAAGTGTTCCAAGTACATTTTATGAGTTCTTACTTATTATGAGCATTATGAGGCGACGAAGCATTTATTTTTTATTTTTTCGCAACACTGCCGCCGCATCTTTTGTTGAGGCCCACCCACTACTCCAAACCTCTTTAAACTATAGAATCGCAACATTTCACTTTGTATGCACTCGACAGCCTGTTAGCAGTGTGTAAGTATGTATGTACATGTATGTAGATGTGGTTGTTGCTGTAGTTAATGCAAAGCGTATTGTTATTTTGTGCAACGCTGACGTTGAGGGAGCACTAAGAAGGAAAGTAAAATTGTTGTACTTTGCTTTATTTTCCAACGACAGTCTTGCTTTTAAGCCAGAGAAAATAATTATAAATTATTCTACTTTATTATAGTATTTTTTCCTATACATCTTCATTTCGTCAACAAAGTATATTAAAAATTAGTAAGAAACAAGGTGATTTGAGCGCCTGCATAGCCACTCATTTTTGGGTCTGGCAGGCCATTTCCACCCAAAATTTCGTATGGCTTCAAACATATAGCCTCCTGAGGGTTCACCCTACGATAATTCATAAAATTTATCCTGGTTATTATAGTTTAAATAGTCCTCACGCGTCTGGCATCCTCTTTCCACCACCCTACCAGTCTGGCGATTGTTTTTTCGGTTTCGGAGAAGTACCAACTCGAATGTCCCAAAATGCCAGATTGGTTAAAATAGTGTAATTGATGTGTTTTTCTGCATTCTGTTGGCGCCAAAGCCAAACCTGGAGGGCCGCCAGACTTTCAGTTAGTTTAATGGGCCGTCATAGCGGAATGACTGAGCATGAAAGTTCTAGCCTGGTTATAAAGAGTGTAACCAAAACCGTTGTCCGCTCTCGGACTATAAACTAGCAGTCCCGGCGAATTTCGTCTCGCCCAAAATCTATTTCTTTATTCAAACATTTGGTACAACGTTTTCACCACAATTCACGTTCACGTTTGATTTTGTGGTCATCAGAAAGCATACTCACTCTCCATTGCCGTCTTACGTAACCTAACGAAAGTGTTATGTCCGCGAAGAAGTTCTGCGGAAACAATGATCCGGCTCGATGGTGAATCGTCCTGGAATCTATATAGAAAAGGTGGTAGCAATTTCAAAATCGGAGAACATCATTGGTCTACATAAATCCAATATATATAGACTTATTTCAGACGAAATACCATAAATGACTTACAATTGAATTTGTAGGCATTCATCAAGATTTGTCTTTATTTTGTTTATTCGCCGTAAAGCAAGGACCGCAATGGCTATGGTGGTAGATTCATTGTTGGTAATTTTATTTTGAACCCTGGTGTCTCCGAATGACTTCACTTGAAGATTTTTAGCAATAACTCGCGTCCAGAGACACCTTGCGGCTCTTGTTTTCAATAGTATTGCCCCTACCACTACCAGTATATGTACATCTCGATTATGAGGCAAATCGGACCATAAATAAGATTTTTAGTAATAACTCGACGACAGAGCCACTTGGCGTTTTAAGTTGTATCCTAAACTATACAGGGACTTTAGGGAAAAAATTTCATTAAAATCATTTCGGTCGAAGAATTATATATAATTACAAATTAGTAAAAGTTTCAGTATGTTTAGAAGGCGCCACGCCTTCTCTTCAAATAGCCCCCAGTTTTTTCCCAGAGTATGGGATTAATTTCAAAATTCATACCAAGTTCCACGACTCTACCACAAATGCTTCCAGAAATATGTGGTTCCTATAACCAAAAAAGCCTATTTCAAAAAAATCGGTACAGCCTATCGCGAGATTACCTCTTATAAAAATATGGAACTTCTCTTTATATAATTGGTATAGAAAGTAAGTATAGATAAATAGCCATTACCCGCTGGTTTTGCGGCGCCTTAAAACATTTATGGCCTTATTCATAAAAAATAAAGTAGCTTTATAAAAGGTTTATAAATTGAAAAATGTATGAAAACGACAATTTATGAAGTTCTTTAAAACTACTTTATTTTTTATGAATAAGGCCATTAGATCTGTAAAACAATTATTCAATTTTATTCTATGTATATCTATAATAAGTGTACCGAATTTCAAGCAAATGGGAATAGATCGGTCCCTGGCCAACCTATAAGAAAAATGTATTCTATATATTAATCCAGGCAGTAAGCTTGCTACGCGCCAAGTTTGAAGCAAAACGTAACATATTAGAAAAAAATGGATCATATATGTATGTTAATTTAGGAAAAGGCTGCCTACGTACTAAATTTGAAGCAAATCTGACTATATAAGACTTTTTCGAATAGATCGCTCACTGTTCCACTTTCCGGAAAAAAATTATCATATGTCCTAATCTAGGCCAAAAGCTACCTACGTACCAAATTTTAAGTAAATCGGACCATAAATATGACTTTATCGAATAGATGGGTCCCTGGTCCACTTCCCGCAAAAAAGGATCCTATATGCTAATCTAGCAAAAAGCTACATACAAACCAAACTTTAAGCAAATCGGACCATAACACGATTTTTTTAATAGATCGGTCCCTGGTCCACTTCCCGGAAAAAATTTTCCTATGTCCTAATCTAGGAAAAAAGCTACCTACGTACCAAATTTTAATAAAATCGGACCATGATACAATTTTTTCGAATAGATAGGTCCCTGGTCCAATTCCCGGAAAAATATGATCCTATGTCCTAATCCAGGCAAAAAGCTACCTAAGTACCAAATTTAAAAAAAAATCGGATTATAATACGATTTTTTCGAATAGATCGGTCCCTGTCCACCTACCGGAAAAAGTAAATTATACAAACACATACGAAATTTCATGAAAATCAGACCAGCCGTTCGCGAGATTACCTTTATATATATAGTATAGGTTTTTGTATATGCATAATAGAATTATAGTTTAAAAAGATAAAACCTCGCTATTATAATTTCCATTCAGGTATGTAACTTGAGAATAGAAATCGCTGCATCTTTTAGGCGCATCAATATTACATATTTACATCCCGAGCTAATAAAAGGGAGGTAATAAAAAATAAAGTTTATGTTTATTAACACAATCACTGATTTAGGTGCATTATGTGCTGATAGTTCCCACTCAAAATTTCAACCCTGTAGCTCGTTTCTGTAACAATTCTCTACCACGGCGAATCCATATATGAATTCGCCGCCGTTTTCTCTACTGCTAATGAGTACGCCATATTCTCTACCAGTAGAGAAATAATCGGTAGAGAAGAGTTACAGAAACGAGCTACTGGATCCGCCCCTGCATGGTT